GCAATCATACACCAGGAAAAATATATCTCCATACTCAGGATGCTGCCCACTTTGTTCCCAGTCATTGTCTACATCAGGGTCTATCTTCTTCCTTGTTCTATGGTGCCTACAGCTGCAGGCCCAGCCTAAGCCTCACCTGTCTTGCACATTAGCTAGCTTTTTCAGAAAACAGAGGCACACTTTTCATCTATTTAGAGGTGAGAATGGCTTTTCCTAGAGTTTGATGCGTCTGTCTCCAACTCCACATCTTCCATTCCTGGTGAGCTTTGGAGATGGGAGATCAGCTGTAAGGAAATGAGATGAGGATTCTGAGTGGCCCGTCTCCACCTTGCCTGCGCCTCAAGATCACCCAGGAAGATTTTCAAAGTTCCTGTGGCCAGACACTGTCCCAACCAGTTAAATAAGAGCCTCTGGGGGTTTGGCCCAGATCTCAGTATTTTTTTTTCAATTTTTTTTTCCCTAGATCATTCAATATTGCAGCCAAGGTTGAGAGCCATTGTTCCAGGAATAGCTACCTCCCCCTCTCCATAAAAGCTGATGAGGACAAATGTTTCTAATGGCAAAACTGAGCTAGGAATTCTAGTCCTTCTTTTAAAACTGGCTCCTTTGTTTTCTTATTCTCCCATCTATTGATTGTTACTGAGTACCTGCTATGTGCCAGGCCTCTTCCTTCAAGATGCTAGAAGCTAAAAACTAGCCCACAGGATTCTGCACACTACAAAGGAGATCCCAGTACCTTGTGCTGAGGGATGTGAATGAGCCAGGGAGCTATGGGAGTGGCAGAGGATAAGGGCTCTGACCGAGGAGGAGCGCCTGGCAGCTTCCCAGAAGAAGTGGTGTCTGAATGGAGACTTGAAGGACCAGTAGGATTTGGGCAGGTGAAGAGGTATTTGTAGCTAAGAAAGCTGAACAAGAAGATGAAAGTAGAAATTCAGTCACTGCAGGTGCTTCGTGTGGCCAAGCTTGCAACGGGAGTGGGAAGTGGCAAGAGATGAAGAGCATGAACTCCAAATAGATCCCACTGGACCACACTGGAAACTTGAGGTTTGCTGCCCTTCTGGGGGGAAAATAAGATGGAGCCTGCATCTATTGAGGATAAGGACAGAGGGGGAATTTATGTTCTTAACTACTATGACCCCGACCATGTCTTTAGGTGTCTTCCATAGACCCACTGGGCAATGCCTTATGACCCTTGGGAATAAATGGCCCCTATCAGGAGCCTCCCCTGTGCTTGTCCTCATTCCTGGAGAAGGAGCACAGGTGTGAGATGAGACAGCACCCACTTCTAGCCATTATCAGTATTAACCATCTCTGCACCCTCAGAACAGGCAAGTCACACACAGAGGCCCTCATCTGTCAATGGTCCCTGTGTTAGTGGGTCTCCATGAGGCTAGAACTGGAAAACTCCAAGGAAAGTACTTAGCGCTGTTCTTAGCACGTGATCAGCACCATGACTGGTACTTAGTACATGATGGGCTCATGCACTTAGGGCACCTGGTTTTCCCCACTTCCAGGATTTCTGCACCTACTCCAACCCCAAGCACCAGAGACCCAAGTAAATCAGGATCTTCTCCTCTCCCCTGTCTGCTGCTGAGCTCTTAGTCCCTCCCAGCCCTGGCTCTCTCCATTACAGCTTGTGGCTCCCCTTGAGCCCAGACTGCTCCCAGACACAGCTAATGCTCTCCCCCTGTCCTCCATCTTTCCTTTTGTAGGAACCAAGGAAGTCTAAATTGCTGACCATCAGTACTGGACTTCTACTGCTGTGTGGAATCTTATTTCAATCCCCTTCTACTCACCTTTTTGTTTTTCTTTCTTTTGGTGCTGGGGATTGAACCCAGGGGAGTTCTATTACTAAGCACATCCATAGCCCTTTTCTAATTTTTATTTTGAGGCAGGTTCTCACTAAGTTTCCTAGACTAGCCTCGAACTTGTGATCCTCCTGCCTCAGCCTCCTGAGTAGCTGGGGTAATGTACACCATATACACCATGCCCATCTTTTCTTTTTTCTTTTTTGGTTACCCCTACCTTTTAATATTTTATTTAGAGACAGGGTCTAGCTGAGTTGCTTAGGGCCTCACTAAATTGCTGAGACTGGCTTTGAATCCTTCTGCCTCAGCCTCCAAAGCCACTGGAATTAACAGGCATGTGCCACCATGCCTGGCCTTGTCCACTTTTAATAACCCCTGTCACATACAAAGCGGGACAAATAAAAAACCCCTTCAAGGGGCCCCGGGCCCCAACCAAAACAACCAAAAAGCCAAAGCCCGAAAAAGAACGGCAAAGCCCCAAAAGAACCGGCCCCCCAAAACCCCAACGCCCAACGAACCCAAAACCCAACAACCCCCCAACCCCCCTACTGCCAGGCACACTCCCGCCCCAGCCTTTGCACCTGCTGGCCCCTCAGTTTGGAATGCTCTTCCCCTATAGCCACAGTCTTTCCCCTGTTCTTTCCAGACTTCTGCTTTTCTACCTTACCTGAAATGGAAAACCCCTGTCCCCCTTGCCCTCACTTATTTTCTTCATAGCACTTATCAACAGCTGTCTTGAGTAGTTAGCTGTCTATTTGTTTATTGCTTTCTTCCCTACCCTGCATCAGAATATAATTTCCATGAGGTCAGGATAGAGTTTCTGCAGTGTCGTATCCTGAGCAGCAGAAACAGTGTCTGGCATGTAGCAGGTGCTGGATAAATATTTGTTGAATGAACGAATGCCTAAACAAACCTATTACCTCATTTGGTCCTTGCAACAGCCCATTTGACAGACAAAAAGATGCTACGGCCCAAGTTCTTGTCTGCAGTTGCTCAGAGAGTGGAGGCCGAGCTGGACCCGGAGCCCTGCTGCAGCTTGCCTTCCCTCCACAGATGGCACATTCCTTGGCTGGTGAAGGATTTCAGACCATCAGGATTTCCCCTGACCTTTAGCCTGAGAGGAAATGATATCGCAACTGGAAGAATCCCCCGAGGGCCGGGAGCTGGCAACAGAGGCCCCGGCAGCTGCAGGGAGTGTGTGAGTGGATTCCGAGTTGGCCAGAAAGGCAGCAGAACGAGCAGGATGCAGTGTGGAGCCTCCTGTCCCCGCCTGGCGTTACCGGGACCTTTCTCGACAGGAGGCCCCGCAGCTGCAGCCCCTGCTAGGTCAGAGTCCTGGGAGGGAGGGAAAGGGACTGCTGGTCAAGCGTCCATCAGGAGTTGGTGTGGGGGCCACACGGTGGGCTCCGGTGGCCCAGGGATTAGATTTTAGGCTGAGTAGCGCTGAACACCCATGGGCTGTGGCACAGGGAAGATCAAGGGGTTTCTGACCAGGACACTGCGTCCTGACCCCTCAGCAACCCTTATTGGCTGAGTGACTCTGGGCTAATCATCTTAGGGTATCTTTTCCTCTGTAAAATGAAGGTTCCACTCCCACCTACCACAGAGTGTTCTAATGGGGATCAAAGGGAAATACAGGGGAAATGCTTTATAGACTCCAAGTTTCTAAACAAATGAAAAGTGTGTGTGTGAAGCACATATATATATATATGCTTGTAAATAGATTATCCTTTGAGACCTTCCATGTGGTTTCATCTGTGCAATTGTCTCTCTTCTGGGCACAAGTCTGCTTCCTGGTGCCCTGCCCACCAGTCATTGGTGGTTCCTCTCACCCTTATATCCACTCTTCCAGCCCCTGCTATTGGCTCTGCCCCCAGCTAGGTTCCTGATCAGCATGTGCCTGGCACCTCTACTACAGTGTGCTGTCCACCCACCGACCAGGGCAAATCTCCTAACTGATACTGCCTTCCACTCCTGCCTGCCCCAGAGCAATCTTAGAAAAACATGCACCCTCCTCCCTCTCCTGTTTTAATACTTCCACAGGGTTGTGACAAAGAGAATAAAACCAAAGGTCACAGCATGACTGGCAGGGCCCTGTGGATCCTGCCTCCCTCTCGGGCCTTCCCCCCCCTCCACATGGCCAGCTCACTCCGGATCCAGGTTCTTTCTCCATCCTTCCTTCTCCTGAGGATGCTCTGGCCCAGATCTCTACGTGGCCGGATCCTGCTTATCTCAGATTTCAATCCCAGGGTCACCTCTCCAGAAGGCCTTTTCCAACCACCTTACACAAGATTCCTGCAGTCGTCCTGGGCACACACTGCACTGGATCTTCAGAGCACTTTCTGAACCCGCAGTTATTTTCTTCATCTGTTTTCTCACCTGCTTATTGTCCAGCTTCCTCTTCAGAATGCACATACCTTGAGGACAGGAACCCCATCTTCACAGCTGGACCCACAACACCTGGAACTGCACCTGACACTCACAGTAGGACTAGGAAGCACTTGGTGATTGACATTGTCCTGGTGGAGAGGAATGTGAACCGGGTGTATGGATGGTGGCCACTGGCAAACGCACACCAGCCTCACTGACCTTGGTGGATGCAGGACCCGCAGGATCTGATTTATATAGTGAACAGCAGTTTCTTCCAGGTTACTCTCCCCCAAGGGAAACCAGAATTCCTAGAGAACACCCAGAGCACCAGGGTAGCAGCCACCACATTCCTTCTGGGCAGACCCCAGACAAGACAGCTTCCTCTTGCTTCTGGGCTTTCTTTCCTTTTTATTTGTTCTAATTAGTTACATATGAAAGTAGAACACATTTTGACAGATGATACATAAATGCAGAATAACATCTCTTTCTTCTGGTTGTACATGCTTTGGGCCTTTCTTATGGAGGTAGGGGTCAGAAAATGGACTTCTGGCTTGCCTCTTTGTAAATCTGATTCTGAGTGCTCTTGAGTTGATCAAGATTAATTGATTAATTGATTAATTTGTGAATGATATACGTGTTTATAAAAAAAAGTAGGTTCTCTTTTTTTGCTATAGTATCTAGAATAGTGCCCATCACATGATGGGTGCTCAATAAACCTTGGTGGAACAAATCACGGCTGATGACCAGGGATGGCTCTTCCTTCCTGAAGCTGGTGCAGAGAAGGCTGATGTGTCTTCCTCTTTCTTTTCTCTGTTCTTACAGGTGGCCTTGAAGAGCAGCCATCTGAGAGCTGGCCAAATGCTACCGCCTTGAATACCAGCAGCCAGGAAGCTAGAAAGGGTAATGTATGTGAGGCCCCACCAGGTCTTTGGGTACCTTTTATATTTTTTAATGGCAAAAAAACAGATAACTGCAAATTTACCATATTGACCATTTTAAAGTGTACCCTTTAGTGGCATTTACAATGTGGTGTGACTATCCCCACAATCTATCTAGTTCTAGAACTTTTTCATCACTCCCAAAGAAGAACTCATACCTGTTAATCAGTCCCACACTTCCCTAGTCCCTGGCTTGAGAGATGACAAGACATGGGAAATCAGGCATCTCAGGGAATGAGAGGTCCTGGGAGGCCAGGAAGAGGGACAGCTGGGGTGGAGATGGGGGGGTGGCTTAGACCAGAACCCCTAGAGAGGGGACGGGTGAGGTTGCAGGCTGTTTGTGGATAGGGACCACTTGTCAGACTGGAAATACTCCCATGGCCTCTCTGCACACAAGGCTCAGACATGAGTGTGGCCTACCAGTCCTGAGAGCTTCTAGCTTGGAGGTCACTGGAGGCACCTCAATTTTGGAGAAGCCTTTCCCATTCAGAGTGAGGGTGGAGGAGAGAGCCTGCATGACTCTCCTCTGGCTGTGGCCTTCAGGATTCGGCTTATGGTCAGCAATGGCATTTCTTCTATATCAAGCTAACTGCAAAGCAAAACAATAATTGTTTTTTGGTATTGGGGAGTGAGTCCAGGGGCACTCAACCACTGAGCCACATCTCCAGCCCCTTTTTGCATTTTATTTAGAGACAGGTATCACTGAGTTACTTAGGCCTCAATAAATTGCTAAGACTGGCTTTGAACTCCTGATCCTCCTGCCTCAGCCTCCTGAGCTGCTGGGATTATAGGCGTGCCCCACCTGGCAGGAATGATTTTTAAATACCAGAATCTTTTGTTTCAAGGATGCCTCTACAGGGATGAAATAGAAATAATTATTTGCTTTACTTTATGTTTTTGCTTTAATGTTAACTTTCATACATATTCACGTGTATATATAATTTCACACACATTCCCACAAATGCATAAATGTGGTGATGTCATCATATACTATTTCTTAGTGTTTCCTTTTGTTCTTTTCCCTTTAATTTAGTACCCCCTTCATCTTCTTTTTCCCCTACCACCCTCTACTCTCTCTCCGATAATGCCTGCTAATGACTTTGTGTGTACCATGCACCTATGTTGACATATGCACTTATATAGAAATATACATATGTAAGCAGACGTAAGCATATATACAGATATAGGCTTTGTCATTGTTTTAAAATTTGATACATATTCTTAAATGCATCATGCTTTTCTCATCAATACTTCATGGGAAACCCCTCCAAGGTACTTGTTTTAACTTAAATTTATGCTTTGGAATAGTTGCAAAATATTCCTGGTACTGATGGATCATACTGTGTTCCATCATTCCCTTCTTAATTAGCATTCCCTTCACTTTTGGTTCCTGACTCCATGAACAATGCCTGACATTCCCTCACAGATAGCCTTTAACACTTCGTATGTTTTTAAGAAATGTTGCTAGATTGCAAGTCCTCTATACACATATACCTCTGTGACAATTCACATTTCCATAGCAACTTATAAGTGTGCTCCTTTCCCCAGATCCTCACTAGTACAAGGTATTGTCAGTGTTTTTAACCAGTGAACAACAGCTCATTGTTACTTAATTTATATTTCTCTGACTGTTGGTGGTTTTGAGCATCTTTTTCTGGGTTTGCCAGTAATTTGGATATGCATTTCTGGGATTTGCCTATTTCATTTTCTCTTTCTTCTCCGAATGATTGACTATTGGGCAAAACTACCTTTAAACTTGATGACTTCAAAAGGTGATTTGTTATCTTTCATCACTTTGTGGGCTGACGGGGCTCAGTGGGGCAGCTCTTGGACTGACGTTGCCTGGGGTCACTAATTTGAAGGCATTCATCTGGCAGCTGAATGGGGCTGGAAGGTCCAGGAAAGCTTTAGTCACCCCTGGTCCCCCAGTGTACCTCCACATGGGCCCTCTCCCCATTCAGTTGTCCAGACTGAGAAGTTCTACAACGTGGCAACTGGCTTCCTCGAGGGAGGAAGCAGAAGATGCAGACCATCCAAGGCCTGGAATTCAGAACTCCAAACATGCTGCCTCTGCCACATTCAACATGGATTCCACAGCATGCGAGAATCAGCGTGAACTCACGGGATGAGGGGACTTGTGGGGGCCATACCTGGAAACTATCACTGCATCTTATCTGCTCACCAGCAATAGAAATTATTAGTTTTTTATGCTTACCGTTTTTGCAGGTATAATAAACTGGGAGAGTCAGACACCCTTGGGCTTGAATCCCAGCTCACGCATTTAGTAGCCATGGCTTTGATGAAGTTATTCATCTCCTTATATGAAACTCGGGGAGAATTAGAAATTATATTTATGTCAAGTGCATAGCCAGGTGTCTGGAACTTAAAAGGTGCTCATGAAGGTAGCTCTTCCACTTTTTCCTCCCCACCTCCACTTCCAAGAATTATATTATCCAACATTGAGAGTGCATCATTTACCTCTGGACTGGGATTCCACAGCTGTTCCACAGCTGCACAGAAACACAATTACAGAGGACAGGAAGGAACAAGTCTGCTGCAGCCCATTGAAATTCTGCCTCTAGTTGGGCTGCACACGGGACCCGCACTGCAATAAAAGGTCTTGGGCTTTCTAAGGAGGGTGAGGACCACGCTGCCCTCTCTACACATATACCTCTGAAACTGGCTGAGTCCATAGTCTGCAGCCCCTCAGATGATCTTGGTTTGTTCAGAGAGGTTAGTGATGTCAAGGACAGGCCAGTCTCTACTCTGCATTACAGGGGCAGACAAGCAGGTCTCTAGGCATCCAGGGCAATCCAGAGGAGGAAGGAGACTCCAAAGGTGAGGTGAGGACGGGCCGATCCTTCCCATCCCGTCCCTTCAGGACAATGTTGGGCACCAGCCTGGTGTGCCTCTTGTTTTTGCTTGAATGATAGATAAGTGTGCCAATCTCAGATTCCTCTTTAATTGCAACCTACCCCCCTTCCGCTCCCCAAGAACAAGAGACCGCCCAAGCAGGAGAAAGGCTCTGGGGGAAGCGTCCGGGCCGCTGGTTTCAGCCGCAGGTTTATTTCCTGGCATTATGTGGCTCCCTTCAGCCCTGATGGTGGGGATTTGTGCCTGCGGCAGTGTGTGTGTGTGTGTGTGTGTGTGTGTGTGAATTGCTGAACAGCAAGCTCTCTCAGCACCCCCGGCAGAAGCTTTGGTCAGAGAAGCCCCTTCCCTTAGAGATGGGAGCTTAGCTTTCGGTGGCCGAGAATGAGATGGATGAAATGGAGTCTGTCACTGCTCCACAGTGGAACTGTGACTGGACAGAACTGTATTTCTAGAATCATATTCATAAAAGAGAATGGAACTTTCCCTTCAGTCGTAGGCCCTCAGGCCTTTATATTGCAGTAAAGAATAATGGAATCTTGTTGCACTGAGGAACAAGGGGCCCACAAACTTGGGTGCAAAATGCTCCTGCATGTCACCTGTGGCAGTGCATTTGGGTGTAATCACCAAGCCCGACTAGCTTCAGGCCCACATTTTAACCTGTCCCCAACCCAGGCCTTCATAGTAATCACTGTGGTTCACACCAAGCCCCTCCTCACCGCAGGTGTTCGATGTCCTTTGGCCAGCTCAATGCTCACTGGAAGTCAGGCTCAGAAGGGGAAGTGGTTTATTCAAAGCCACACAGGTAGCAAATGGCAGCACTTTTCTTGAGCTTAAGTTTCCTTGCTCCCAAATACCTTCGTCTTAACCTTTGAGCCCTATCAGTGGTTCCCAGACTTCACTGAGCTTGGTCAACAGTGGGGAGATTTAAAAACTGCAGATACCTTTACTCTAAGATTGGCCTGTTGAGTCGCAATCCTTGGGCAGAGGACCACACCAGCATTTTAAAAAGCTTCTATCTGACTCTAGCTGTGCAGCCAGGTTGAGAACCCTTGTGTAGGATAATCTACTATCTCCCTTTTTACCAAGGGGCTGCTCTTGAGTTTTTCAGGATTGGGGCAGGTAAGGCGTGGATTCGTCCATCCGTCATGGGGTGAGGATTTTGCAGATGGCTGGACAGTCAGATGTATACTTCCACTGTAGGAGTGACCCTCTGCTTAATCTGAAGATTGTAGTTGCTTGCTTGAGAATGCCGGACCAGGCATGGTTCTGTTTATGACATGGCTGTGCCTTCAGCCGGAAATGGAACACTGAACAGTTATGCCGTTTTGCTCTGTCAGAGAGGAAAGGGCCCCTCCCAGAGCCAGAGAATTTAAATGGGCTTTATCCCCCTCCCTCCTCCACCCCCAGCGTGTTAAATCCTTTCAGACGCCCCTGAGCTCCTCTTCAAATGCAGGACTCTTGGCCATAATAAATAATTACATCCTTCTATTTGGACTCCAATTCCAGATAGTAGTAATCCAAGAAAATCCAATAATGACAGTTGCATTAAGATCCTCCTTCCAGGCTAAGCAGAACATCTGTTTAGACATATTTTTAATCGGCAAATGCTTCCTGTGTTGAGTCCTCAGCAAATTAAATTTCTCACTGGACCGAAGGGGAAGCTGTCATTCAATAACCCATCTCTGGAAATTACACCCCAGTCTCTTTCCAGGTGCACTTAAGATTTTCCCATGCTGACTCGGCCGCATAAAATCAGCCCTTACAATACTGGGTCACATGTGTATGTAGCACAGCTTGTCCGAGCGGCCTGGGATGTCTTGGTGTGTTATTCCCTCGAATAGAGAAATATTTTTGCCCAGAGAAGAATTGGCAGCAGAGGAAAATTAAGAGACTTGTTGAAAACCATATGGGAAACGGATAACAAACTTCCACTTGCTACATCGCTGCCTGTGATTACTTAAGACATGATGATTCTCAGGATGTAAACATTAAGGGCTTCAGCCTTGCCAACATTGCGGAGAGGTTTCCGCCACAGAATTGTTTGGACTGTTGGGCTGTTTATTTTTAGAATGGCTCATCCATTCTTTC